CCTCTACTCCCCCCCCAAAAAAAAAGCACAAGCCAGCAAAACAAAATAAAAGCACAGTCATTTTCACAGCAACTGCTTACAGGTTCAAGGCACAAATAACAAGATGCAATGGTCCCTAGAAAGTTTCCCTTTCTAGAAAAGTGCACACAAGCCAGAACACAAACACAGCTGGCAGAGTGCTTCTGGAGAGCAACATACTAATTACAGTTGCATTCAGTATGTAGCGATACTGAACTCATTGTTCTTTCTAAATGCTGTATGAAATTCTTTACCTCTTCTTGCCATTATCATCTGTCAATTATGAAAAAGAAAATTAAATTAAAAAATAAACCACAAATAGTTCCACGAGCACTGGAACAAAAGCAGCCAGTCACAGGTTTTATCCTTCACAGTTGACAGGTGTTACTCTGAGAAGCATTTCCCATGCCTGGAGCCCATGTAGGGGCTCCTTCAATGTCAGCTCCCTAGAGTACAGGAAGGGGTGAGCAAAAGCTGCTGCCTGTCTTTGACAGAGGAGCAGGAGACACACTGCTGTCTACACTCACAAGACTTACTGGAATACAGTTACATATATTCAATACTAAGTCTAGTTTGGATTGGCCAATGAGTTAAGATATTTTAGGGTGGCCTGACACACAGGACTCAATCACATTAACTACACTCTCAGAAAACAAACTGAAGTAAGTGCAGTCATAAAATAAACATTAAGGTAAATATAATTATAAGTTCTAGCAATTAATTTACTTACATCTCTATCTACTGTTGTTGCAAAACCAATAGCTTCCTTCTGCGTGCAGTTGACAGCCTTCTGCAGAGTATAAATAACTTGTTCATAGGTATGGACTTCGTCATTAAACAGCATGCAGTAGTAAGTGTCACTCTTCTCCCTTCAAAGCAAGGAATGAATTTATATAATTCAAAGTAATGTAATTTAAGAAATCAACTTTTTCATTCAACAAAGTGTTCCACCAAGCAGACAACCCGAGCCTGGGCTTCTTTTGCTATACTGGAACATATCTCAAAAATTTATTTGAAAAGGACTGACCATCCCTAACTTCTATAGGAATGTGCATCTTTCCTGCAGAATGAAGCCCAAAAGGAAAACAAATCCTAAGAAAATACTTAAGTCTGAGTATTATTTTTGAACACTTGTTGATTATAATTTGTTGATAGTTTCCTACTAAGGAAAACACATTTCCTTCCAATGCAGCCGAGCTCAATATATCCCCCCAAAACTTCTTGGAGATTTCACTGATCTTGGCTTTATTTTGTCACGTTTCCCCAATACTGCATAAAGGTCCAACAGACAACAAAAACTTGGCAATCTCTTGAAAAACCCAAACTCCACAAACCTCAAAACCAACACTTAAGCTTACATAGATTCAGCGCAATCTTTTGATTTCCATCATTTATTTACATAGCATTCTTACTCACACAACACAAAGTAAAAGGAGATACTACCAAGCTGTCACAGATGAATACATGACCACTATGATGCTACAATACACTTAAACAGCCCGTAATGCTTCAAAATTTGTAGTAAGTGGATCACCAAAAGTACAAAATACTTTTGCCATCAGAATTTCAGTAACTCTGATCATAAGAAGTTAACCTGCCACTTCTTCTACGGTATTTTACTAATACTTCCTTTTCAAGATTAAGAAAACATTGTTTCTTCAATGCTACAGAGAGAAATGGGCTGTATAATCACAAAAGTAAAAAATATGAAAAAAAATATTAAAATTATTTTAGTCTATTGTCTACAAAATATTCCCAACAACTTTAGGAAAGGCAGAAAACGTACTTAAAATCAGAATTTGCATTTTCTATTGTAAATATCTGCAAGCCTTTAAAAGGCAGAAGACAAATGCTATACTTACATCATTTCTAGGCCAGGCAATTCATTTTCCTTTTCCCATGTTAATATATCTACTGCATATTTAAATGTGATGGCAAAAATATTGTAAGCTCTTGCTACCATATCTTCTGGTAACTGCACAAGAGGATCCTGGAAAATAAATGTAAATAGCAATTGAGAAATGAAATTACATTCAAAACTGAAATTGCCAAACCTGCACCTCTCTTTGTCAAAGGTGATGTAAGCATCTTTAATGATGTCTTTATTTAAGTGACTTTACATTTGAAAGGAATAGAGTCAATAACCACCCTGTTTTCTTTTTCCAGTTCTTCACTGACAGTGACCAAAGCAGTAATCTAACATTCAATATCTAAAAGTTAACTTGCCTCTGATTACCCACTCAAATTCTCACAGTTCTGCATTTGCACTTTCATGGTTCCCACTTACACATACCTTCCAAGATAGTTCTTCTGAAGAACTTTTAACCCCAGCTGCATTAAAATGTGCTTTTTCCATTAAGCCTTCAAAAAGATAATTTGAAATCACTGTATCTTTTGTTCCACTTACCAATATTAGTAAACTGCAGAATACAAACATCTCTGAATCTATTGCCTTGTTTTATACGTAGCATGCGTTTAGAGGCAGAAGCCTTATCTATCCAAGCTCATACAACATCCAGCACACTGGGATCATGATTTATGATGCATGTCTCTTACATGCTGTGGCATATAAATAAATAAATGCTTAAATGTAAGTAGGTATTTAGTAACAACCTGCCCATGTCTCCGTCTTGCTCACAGATAGCTGTTCCCCTTCTGTACCTGGACCATGCACCCACTTGTGTCCACTCTGCACTCTCCTGGGTGCCCTCCATTTGACATCTGCAGCCACTGTGCCACTACAAACTCCTTCTCCTCTCTCTGCCAGAGCAGAATGGCTGCTGCTGCAGGTAGGGGAACTGAAATGAGGACAGGGAGGAAGAGCAGTGCTGCCTCAGTCTGCAAAGTCAAAGGGACCACTTTTTGGAGCAGCAAATGAGAACCACTGCCAATTCTCAATCAGGTAGTACAGGTACCACTGTCATTTCCTTCCAATTCATTTCAAGGGATTTGTGTGTGAACAGAAAACATTAAAAACCTCTTCTCTGAAAGGATTCTTCTTCTACTATTTCAAATTTTTAATGTTCAGAACAACCAGTGCCTCTTCTAAAAAACTGGAAAGAGAACACTGCATGCCCTGCAGGTCACCTAGATATGTACTATACATTGGGTCACTGACTCAATTCATCATTTGATATTTTGAAGTATGTGTAATTGTTAGCCCATTAAAGTATTTAACAGTAGCCCAATTTCTATTTTAGGATTACCTAATACCAAATTCTGTGTTTCATTACAGCTTATGTTGTACAAAAAAAGGCCACAATAATCTTTTCAGAACTTAAGTCTGAATTATCTACACGATGCGTTTGATAGTCAGCAATTCACCTGTACTAGTGAAGTTTATTCACCCACCCATCCCAAGATTCTTTTGGAATATTTGTAAGCTTTACAGGAGTGTTAATAACTGCCATTTCTCTGCCTTTTTTTTTTTTTTTTTTTTTTCTTCATTTAAAACTTATCTAGGGTATGAAGAACTATCAGTTACCAAAAGCAAAGGCAAATCTTAAGCAGCAACACTGCCTCCATTCCCAGATGTCCAACATTCCCCATTCAACAAAGACATGTAGCAGGGCAAGGCAGAAAACAGGTTCCAATAGTGCTCAACAAATGATCCTTGCTCCACCTGAACACAACATTGCGTAACATAAGAGATCTCAATCCCCATCACTCACAGGGTAGAAACACAAAGCCTGCCCAGCACCTTAATTTTTCTGTCACTCACACTGACTGTGTCAGTATCTTTGGACAGAGTGACAGTCCACCCAAGATTTCAGAACAATAGTTTCCTAAGGCTGCCCACTGATGTAAAGTGGCATATAGATCAAGTGGGGAGTCCATACAGCAGTGCTAGAATCTTGGTGTTGAGATAGTGGTAACAGATTTTAGAAGGACCACTGTCACTGCAAATACAGCTACAGTTGCTTCACTTAAACTATCAGATCAGCAAAATTACTACCAAAAAGTAATTTTGCCTTATATTTTCCATTCTAAAAAATGTCACTGAAATTATATTACATAATAGACATGAGCAGCTAGACCAGAAGCCCAACTAGTCACTCCCATTCCTGAGATGTAATAACAGATACTAAAGGAAGAGTATAAGAAAAGGACAGAACACTCCTCTGGTCTTCAGTAACTTAAGACACTAATACTTCCCACATTAAAGATGGTATCTGCAATTTTTAAATGCCTTTGATAATTTTTTCCCTCCACAAACATGGTAAATTTCCTTTTGAACATGTATAAACTTTTAAGAACAACAGTGTTTTGTAACAGTTAGTCCAACAGCTTGAATTAATACTCTAAGTAGCATGTTTTTTGCATTTCATATGTCCAAGTCATTATGCTGTAAGAAATGGTGAAGATATGTTCTCTATTTACCTTCTCCATACCAAACAAGCTTTTATAGACCTCTACCTTATATCTCCATTATGGCTTTCCTGTAACAGCAAGTTATTTAGATTTTAAAAAACTGTGCACTTTACGTTGGTAAGAATAGGAACATATGTTGCACAGATAGATTAATTTGGCTTCTTCATGCACATGATTACATACAGATTTTTTTTTTCCCCACGCGGTAGACTCCTTTCACCTTTCAGAATAAGACAGAAAAACAAAGAAACAGAACTAAAGCTGCAGAAGCAACCAATAACATACAAAATAAAGCCTTCGAGTAGAAAATGTCATTCTAAACTCCGTAAGTTAGCCAACACATTAATTTTGTCTAATACATTATGTGGTTCAAATATTGTTATTACATTTCTCTCCCATCTCTCACGCATGGTATACAAGACTAAAAATAATCTCATATGAATGAGTTATATATATACAAAAATATATACACAGTTAATGTTTTGAAATATGATGCCTCAACTGTTACTACCTCCTCTTCTGCTGTCTCTGAAGTGTTAAGTTCATGCTTTTGACAGTAAGGACCTTCTTTCCAAGCTTCTGTATCACCACAGTCACAGAAACCTCCTCCACCTGATGTTGTCATCTAAAATTATTTAAAAACAAAACAGCTCATGTGAATATGCATATACACATATGCACATTAAGAAATCAGTACCACAGCTAAACTACAAAAGCACAATCACACCATCTGATAGCTTTAACCAGTACTCTGCCAAAAAAGCACAGTGGAACTGTGTTGTTTCTATGATGGCTGAAAGCTTATCACCTTCATCATTATGCCCACGTCAAAAGAAAATTCAATTTAAAAAAAAACCACAACAAAAAAATGCCAACAAAAGTTTCAAAACCCCCCCTGAAGGCTGTGGGTTTTTTTCTGGTTTTCAGTTTTTCTAAATCTATTACTTGCAATGCCATCTGTACTATTTAAGATTCCCACATTTTCAGTCTGAACAAAGCTTAAATAATTTCACAGAGAACTATTACTCAGTGAGTAAAAGATGTGCTGTTTACAGTAACAAGAGTTTACAGACAAAACTTACAAATTGTCCACATAAGTTCTAGTAAGCATAGAAAAAAGTATCTGAAAACTGTAATGATACATTTACACTGTTTTAATAAAATTGATTTTAAAGCTAAGATCATCTCAAATTAATAAGTGTAATAATACTCTTTTTGAACCACAACTATTAACTGATTGATAGAAGAATTCTTCTTTCATCTATTTTTTGCCATACAGGTACATCCTACAGGATCAACAAAATTAGACAGACATTTGAAACAACATTTGCTTACACTTTTGGATGTCATCTAGACTTGTTAATTCACTAAGCTTGCAAACTAAAAACCTACATACAAGAAATATGCTGATATCAGCAAATTGGATTGGGTTTCTTGGGGCAAGTAGTTGTGTTTGGGTTTTGTTTTTTTTTTTTTTCCTAAACCCTAGTGCTCAGTGTAACCATGCAGTGATCTGATTTAAATTAACAGCAGTGCAGTATCGTCAAAAACAGATTTACAAAAAGGCTACACTGGTAGTTTTCACTTAGCTTCCTAGTTTAAAAGCACGCCAAGACCGTCTTGGTTTTGTTTGCAGGGTTGTTTGAACTAACTTGTACTACTAAGAGCAGTAGATTACAAAAATAAACAGCATTTACAGTTTTAGTTTGCTATTTTAACTTTATATTAAAAAACCAAACAAAAATCCTGCTATTGTACAGAATTTTATAACAATTCAGATATTTAAATAAGTTTTATTTAAAAGTGGTTTCTTTAAGGTTTTTCAATATGTCTTTAAAATAGTCAAACATCAAGGTGAAAGTAAGTCAAAAAGCTAATACTGTAGGGCACTACAGGGCACACATTAAAAATAACATACTTACATTTCTAAGCTTAACTGTTGTTAAAGTGTTAACTTTCAGAACGTACACTCAGATCAAAACACTAAAGTTCTTGTAAGTTCATTACAGATGTAATTCCAAACTTTGTGTACATCCAACATTTTGAAATTATATATATGAAATTATGTATACATTCTTAAGTTTTAAACAAGGAGTTTCATGCAGAGACAAAATCATTAATGACTACATCAGACATTCCAGCAGTATCACTAACCCTGTATCGGTGTTCTCTGTGAATACTTCCAAGAAAGCACTCCATGCATAACACACAAGTTGGGTCAACTGCACAGTCTCTGAAGGAAGAAAAAAAAAAAAAAAAAAGAAAAAAAGAAAAAAGTGGGGGGAAGGAGCATTAAACCAATGTTTTTGCCTTTAATTACATATTTTACAACAAGTAATTTTCAAATATCACCAATATGAACCTTCCAACTAATGTGTATATTATTCTGAAAGAGGAAAGTGATGGCTTCCAAGGAGGGGGAAACAGATTGAGGAGAAAAAAAATCTGTTCTTGTAACAGAAGAGGGTTTAAAATATTGTCTGGGTAGCACGTATCCTTGGGTGATAAAGCCATTGTCTTAAAGAGGTGAGACAAGTACACAAGCAAGTAAGCAGATGAGTTACAGAAGACAGTACAGACGAACAGTATAAACCCAAGCAAGTTCTCTTGAGTAGAGAACACAAGCATTAACAATCTCCAGCAATCAGAAAAGACATGTTTTTCACTGAATCCCAGTAAGAAAGCACACAACAGATTAGATCAAACCTCTGCTTCTAAGTTGAGCCCTACAAGCTCACTGAAGAGGTCCAAGAAAATTTCCTCAACCAGGGGAACAGAGACTTTAATAAGGTCCTGTATCTGAGCACTGCTATATTAGATAGAAGTAGTATTTCTAGCAAAAGGGGCTAAACAAATGAATGAGACAATTATACTTTACATTTAATTGTCTCCCTAAGAAACACTGAAAATACATGAACCTATGTAATGCAACTGACTACAAGGCATCTCAAGATTAAGGGAGTCAGGTTTTGCAATGTAGAAATAACTACCAAGTGAATGTGTCTTATGGTGGTTATTATTAAAACAAGAATTTAGAGAAACAACTTTGTTCAAAAGAAAACAACAGACATCCTATGAAATGTTATTATCAAGAATTCTCTTAATTTCATTTCACCAAATAAATTAAATCAGGTAATCACTGAAAGATAATCAGGCAACCATGACTTACTATGCATAAAGTACCATTTTCACATTTGTTTTCTCCACAGAAGCCATCAAATTTACCCAAAGCTCCTCTGTTTTAGAATCATCTATGTTCATGGCAATTTTTTAAATTATTAAAAAAATTAAAAACACTTACTGCAACATAATATTGATTCCTCAGAGCCCTAAACTTGTGGCAAATATACTTACAAACTCAGAACCATTTGCCAAGTAATTTCTCAAACAAATAAGGGTGCTTATATCTAAACCAGAGGCAGACATGTAAGCTTCACAACTGGACAGAAAAGCCACTGTTTTTAATGTATTTCATGGACTCAGAAAACAATAATTTTCTGTATCCCACAAAAGTTTAAATTAAAACTCTCATTATTCTTCATTAACAAAGCAAATTAGTCAAATACATTATTAACACACAATAGGAAACATTAACAGTTTTACATCTATGTTCAGTACTTAATTGAAAGAAGGTGAGACTTCATCTCGATAGCAGCAACAGCAAAAGTATTCTGTATTCACTGCTGACCCTGACTTGAGCAGAGAATCAGAGAAGATGGCCTACCAAGACATCCTTTCTAACCTGAATAATATTATGATTATATTGTTGTATTTAAATCATTTTTCTGCTGAAACAAAGACCCTGAGTATGAACAGTACATTCACTCATTCTCTAAATTCTACACCGATGGACTGCATTATTGCATGTTTTCATCATACCTGACAGTATTCTCCAGGAGATACTTTACATTTTGAATTGTTGGTCTTGAAAAACAAGTGTTGAGAAGAAACTAATAGAACTCCACAGTTTCAGTTAGGCCTTATGAAGAGCATTTGATCATTAACATATTACTTCTAGGCTGCAATGCAATTTCAATTGAATTAAAACACCAGTTCTGAGGTTTGGGTTTTTTAGTTGTTTGGGACCAGAATTCATTAAAACGTACTAAAGAAACTGTGGAAACTCTTTTTGTAGCCTCTGACAGTCCTCAGCCTCCCAATCTCTAATTTTCTACTCAGATCTCTTAACTTTTTCACAGGTGTGAAGGAAGAACTTAAGAACACCTGAGAGGAAATACAGTTTTCTTAGTGGTTGAAAGGATCTAAAGTACCCACCAGTTTAATCTCACCCATCTCAAGATAAGAGGTCTCAAAACATTTCCAAAACTACCAATTCTAACTGATCATTGAAACAGAAATGCAGAAGAGGCAGCTTGCTGAGTTAAGTATCTCAAGGCCACCTTGAATCAGAACTTCAGGGAATAAGGCCAATAAGGTATCATGTTTCTAGAAAAGGAGAGCAGTAGAGAGTAAAATTCTTCTACAATCATTCTCTCCTTGTAAATGACGGGAATGCAAACTCAGAAAAATAAACCCTCCAAATAAGACAGACATTTCCTCCCCCAGTCACCCCACCAAATGGAGGTTACACCTGTTTTAGCATCCAATAGATTGGTTTAACAGGTCACAGAATGAAGTCTAAAATACAGGATCAACACTAACAGCTGGTATTAAACACTTCAATTACATGCACAAACACCTGCCCACTTACTCCTGATCAATGCCCTTAAATCACACAGACAGTTCACCCCTCATCACTTTCTTAATCTTGCATTTCTTTTGTACAAAGAACACTCCACTTTATACTAATAAATATTTTTCCATTTACAAACCTGTACTGTGACAATTTTCCCCTGGTCCCACCTGTCATGAAACATTGTAAAAATACATTTGAGGTATTAACTTTTCATTAGGACAGTACATTCTTATTGAAAAATGTTCCATTATTTCACAAACTATAGATACTTCACAATATTAAGTTGAACTACCTGCAAGAATATGTAGGTTCTCCCACTTTAAAAACACGGCCACAAAGATGGGAAGGTTTGTTCGCTTGCTCAAGCTTTGGAAAACCAAATGCAGGATCTTCACCACAAAGATACCATTCCATTGGTCCCAGCAAAATGTGTTGTGCCAGCATGTCTTCTCTTTGTGGAGCAGGGTTAGGACCCCTGCAGTAAATTTTTGGTACATAATAGGCCAGATGCTGGTATACTTCTTTCTGAAGGTCATTTGCTTGCAGCCATTTCTTTTAAATTAAAAGGAAAGAGAACACAAATCATTCATTAATAAAAATACCAAGCATAGTTCTATCCATCAAGATTAATTTTTTATTTCTAAATCAAAAATCTAAAATGGCATTGCAAAAAGAAAGCATGGCTTTCTAGTTTAAGTGCTAAATCTAGACGATCACAGAAGACAGGCATTAAGGAAAGGAACAATTTGTTTCCCTTCTTGCACATTTTATCCTTTTGACATACAAAATTATTTTGAAAACCACAAGATTTATGAGTCTAAATTCTTAAAAATGTTCCTCTGGGATGCATGAGCAGTAAAATGTCCCAATATTAGCAGTGAGTTTTAAGTTAAGGCCCACACTGTGCTGGTTGCATTTTTGTTTTGGAGTGCAGACCGTTGCTGCCAGCTGGGGACACAGAGCAGCAGCGGAAGCCTGGAGTTGGCAAGGAACAGGCAAAGGCAAAAAGTACAAGGAGAATGGCAAGCACAGCATTAGGTAACAGTCCCTCTCTTACTTAATTTCAACAAATTACCCATGGAAGTGAGGGGGTTTTAGTTTTCCTACCACCAAAATAACTTATCTGAATTACTATTTCAAGTGTGATGCTAGATCTGTGAATTCTCTTAGTCAATCAACTGTAAAAACCACTGTTGACAGAGCTTTTAAAAGCCATCAAACTACGGTCCCTGCCATAAGCCACTGAAAAACTCACCGCTCTTTCTAGGTATTCTTCCCTTGCATGCAACGTACAGAGTAAAAAAAAATCCTTTAGGACAACATTTGTTTTGTTTCTGCCTTGTGGATTACAATTTTATAAAGGTTTAAACTGTAAATGAAGGCTGCAAGGTTTTTACCATAAACAAATGGGAGCAAGCACATCCTGCAAGTGTGCACTGATTAAATCCTGTGTTACATAAACAGCCTTAGCACACCATTTCTCATTGTAATTATGACAACCAGATACCCCCTGGCAACTTCAGAATCAACCTAAAAGTGTACATGAAAACCGAGAATTAATTATACCAAAATAAATGGGTTTGGTAATCAAATGCTACAGCTTGATTTACTCTGAATTATTTATGACTTACTCTTAAGAAAGTTTATGTTTGAAACAACACAGTTGTAAGTTCTTCAGGATACAGACATATAGTCAGCAGACCATTTGTGACATTTAAGAATAACTGTATTTTTGCCTTTTTAAAAAAATATATTGCAGTATTTTCATTTAATAAACCATGTTTTCTAAACCAGAACTTCATATTAAAAAAACCTTTATTTGTCAGTACAGGTCTTAGTAGAACACTATGCTTTCCTCACTTCTTTTTCCTTAAGTTTGACTTCTCAAAATCATAATCAATCTACTAAATCTTTCTGTCTTGATCTAACTTTGACAGTCAAAAGCCCAGATTTTTTCCAAGAAAGTCTGTGAGAAAAAGGCTGCCAAAAAGCCGTACGCAACAATCCAGAAGTTTACAGATAATCTCACCATTCCCACCAGGATTCAGAGAATACAGGGGGAAAAAAGTCAAGTTTTCATTACTAAGAATTTGATTTGGTTTTTTTCCTAGCTCATTAATCTTTTCTTCTCCTGTCATCATTTGTGCCAAATGTGCTCCTACTACCACCAGGAATTGACCCAGTCACAGTGAAACTGACTTAATTTCTTCCATGATTTCTGTTTAGTAAGACCATTTTTAGATTATTTTCTAGGGCATATACTAGTTATTACGTTTGCATTTTTCTCAGCAAAATAGCTTTAATTTTAGCCTTTTAATTCAGAAGTACATTACTAATTTCTATCTAGAAAATACACAGTGCACGTTAGCTACATTACAAGCTCAGACAAATACCCAGCCAGAGAAAATTCTTGTTCCTCGAGTAAATGGCTTTCCCATCCCAAAAACTCTGGGAGTAGTTGCCTGAAAGCTAGGTGTGGCAACACTGAACGTCATCACATCTCTTTGTGGAGTCAGTTCTATACGTATAACCACACATACATTTTTGAAAATCAGATCCTGGCTGAAAGAGTATCAGAAGGAAGTACAGGCTACTAGGATAAGGAAACAAATGTTACTCCAAGAACTACTAGGAAGGCAACTCAAAATACTGTTGTGCATGTAAAACTGTTACCAGAAATATATACATATGCATACATATGTTACGCTGGCTTTCTAAATGACTACCTCGGAGGCACTTTGTTCTTTAATGAAAATATTTTGTATTTAGGCAAGTTTTCAGTTAGTATTTGTTTATCTTCTATCCTGAAGTCACATGTAAGAAAACCTAACGTTCTTCTCTCCTGAGAGAGGTTTTTATTAAAAAGAGAACTGTATTCCTCTTCAGTTCTTCCCCTCTCAGACTTACTCTCCTGCAGCAATTTTTGACTGCCCTGGGGGTGGAAAGCATTGATCAAATAACATTTTATGTAAGTAAATACTTAATAGTCCATCAGGGCTTTTATTAAATCCACAGCCGAGTAAGAGATACTAGGCAAACAAAACATGTAGTACAAATAAGCCACAAAACAAGTGAGTTTACTGTTTTGAAAGCTAAAAGGTACAATTTATGTTTTTCTTAGCGACACAATTTTTTGCTACATAGGCTCATGTTCTGTTAAATATAATTTATTACTTTGATTATTCTTCTTTAGAAGTTTATCATTAAGTTGTTGCAATGAGAAATTGAAGTCTAAAATATTGCAGCTATTGCTTTGGGCTGGCATTTGTTTTGTTAATATTGGGCTATCAGCAAAGGAGGGAGAAAAACAATGCTAAAACCCAAGTACATGTTGTTTACTTATATAACCAGGCAGTGACAGCAGCATTTAGCTGCTAGCATATTGTAGATTCGAGAGCGACAGATCTCAGAACTGTAGCTTGTGCTGGTGACCGCAGAGAATAAAAAAATGGAGAAGAACTGACTAAGTTTAAGCTGGCACTTGTACCCACAGCAAGTTCCTAAACGTGTTCTACTTAGTGCACCACTGCCTCTGGCTTAACTACAGTGTGACCCAACAAAACCATCTGCTACTCACACAAACAAGGACAAGGAAGTCTGAGCTCTGTAAGAGCTACTGTGTGAAGTGTCTGATGGAATTATTTGGTTTTCTTTTGAGGGGATGGAAGACTAATCCTGGAACTAAACGAGTTAGGATAGAGCTATCTATGCACATTTGCCCATCTACCCATACCTTTCTCTGCACTGTAGACACACCACTGTAATCTGAGGATAATCTGAATTATAACATTGCCTTTTATTTTCCTGGGGAAAGTAGCCAGTGTAATTCTCATTGAAATGCACACAGACAGATCTCCAAGGTCTTATCCGACAGACATGCACATGAGCAGTCCCAGTATTTTAACGTAACTATGCAGTTCCTCAAGTGCACAAGTATCTATAAAATTTCACCTACATCAGAACCAAAAGTTTATCGCAAAACTTCACCCTCACGACTTCACTCCTTTTCCCTTTTAACTATTCATGCAAGCAGGAAGAGTATATAAACAAGAGTAACTACTTCAAATATTACATTGGTTTTACTAACATTTCTTCTACAAGCGTCCCATTCTAATAGTCCTAAGCTTAACTACTGTAAGTTTTTGCCAGAACCGCATCTGAAATACTGGGGGTGGAAGGAAGAACCCCATAACGAAATTTCAGCACTGCAAAGCACATGCGGGGTCAGACACCCACCGAAGGCACTGGGGGGAGGGGGACCTGCTCACGCCGCCGTACGGCTGCTGGAAGGGAGATGTGAAAAGGCAGCAAACTGGGCAGGAGAACCGAACTTCTCAGTTGCCTGGAGAAGCCGAGGAAGCA